CGTGAATCAAAATCAATCTATAATAATATTCAATTAATAGCACATGATTCTGGTACACCAACATTACATACAAAATCATTAATATTATTAAATATAACCGATATAAATGATTGTATTCCACAAATTACAACAAATTCAATAATATATAATATCAATGAAAATAATCCTATTGGTCTTATTATTGATACATTAAATGCATATGATTGTGATATAGGTATAAATGCTGAATTTGAATATCAATTATTAAATAAAACAAATTTATTAATAATTAATTCACAAACAGGACAATTAAGTTTAAATCAATCAATTGATTTTGAAAAATTTCATCAAGAAAAAAATTTGACAACAATTGATTTAGAATTTTATATTCAAGTTCAAGATCATGGACAATTATCATTATCAAGTCAAATTAAAATAATACTTCGAATTCATGATATAAATGATCATTCACCTGAATTTGATCAAAATCAATCATATAATTGGACATTTTCAAAATCTCAATTACAATTAAATACAATTCTTGGTCGAATATTTGCTTATGATTATGATTCAGGTTTACAAGGTATTATACATTATTCAATACGTTCATTTGATCCATGTTTAATATTAGATATAACATTACTTGGTTATATTTATATTCAATCACAATTATCATGCTCATTTTTATCTTATACATTTGAAATAATAGCAAGTGATTATGGTTTACCAAATATTCGTTCAACAAAAAAATTATTAACAATTAATATAATAGATTCAAATCAATTAATAATTAATACATTACCAAAACTTTTACCATTATCAATTCAACGAACAATTGTTGATATAAATTCTATTGGTAATATATTATTTATTATTGATATAACAAATAATCATTCTATACAACCAAAAATTTATTTCAATCATACAGATTTATTTATATGTTGGAATATAAGTTCAACAGGTGAAATTCGTCTTATATCAAAACCTTATACATCATCTTATATATTATCTTTTAATATTATTGATGAATATATAGATGAAAATTTTTTAGTAAAATTTCAAATTGATATATGTAATAGTTCAATAAAAAATTCATGTAAACAATTAATATATTATGAAAATCAAAAAACAAATCAAATATTACTTTTTTGGACAATTTGTTTAGCTATAATAATAACATGTATATGTATATTTATATTTTCAATAATAACTTGTTTTTATTGTCGAAAACAACCAAAAAATAAGAAATCATTTAAAAATCAACAAAATTTTTTACAATGTAATGATGATTTTCAAAGTGAAAAGGTAGTAAAACAAAATGTGATAAACTTTAAAAAGAAAAATAATTCTGTTTTTTTTTTAGACTTTTAAAACTTCATCTGGCTCAACAATTCGTGAAGATGATCGTATGTTTAATTTATTTGAAATTAATTTATATTTTCATTTCTTCTTTTTTTGTATTTAGGAGATTCAGCTTGTATTATAAATACAAATTCATCATCCTTATCGTCTAGTGTGGTACCAATACAAGTAAATTCATGGTATCATAATGGATATGATTTATCGAATGATCAAAATTATCAACCTTCAACTTATTTTTATGATCTTAAATTAGCTGAATTGATACGTAATAATCAATGTCCACCATGTGTATATTTAAATTCTCAACCATGTCAATCATTAAGTACAGATTATGGTTTTGCTAGTTCAGATGCATCTCCGTCATCAATTTCTTATTCGTCAACAAAAATAAATCAATCAAATATGAATTCATTAGAATTGAGTATTGAAATGGATGTTGATCAATTACAACAACAACAACAGACGAACAAAAAAAAAGGCTTTATTTCAACTCATGAATGTGTTGTTTAATACAGTGGATAATCTGTTTTTTTTTGTTTGTTTATTCTATATATTTGTCGTATAAAGATAAAGCTTTTAAACAAGGAATTCTATTGAATCGAAACACAGCGAACAATAACATAGACATTTGATGAAACAATCAAAGTGATATTTTTTGCGGTATGAATAATGTCCAACAGAGAGCTGGTGGTTCGCGTTTTTCTGGATCCAACAGATCCTGAGTTGAAACCTGCCCGGTTCAGACTCGAGATTTTTTTCCGCCAGTATCTGGCACCTGTTGTATACATGAACACGTAAAGAATCAAGGCTTTAGGTATTTATTGGGTACTCTCAGAAAAAAAGTCAACATACATTTATTTCTTGTTATTTACTTTCTTATCACTCGATGCTTAATAAGTTAAAAGAAATTGAACAATTAAGTAATAAACAAAATTCGTCATTGAAAATCGTCAAATCAACAGTAACAACAAAATCTTCAGCTGTATGAAATACTGATAGTTATATTTATGTAAATGAGATTAAGCAAATACAGAGCTGCGAGTTTCGAATTTGGAAAAACCCGCAGCACCTTAAAAACAAGTGATAGATCATGTTTCTTATCAGTGCACAATAGAAACAAGACATATCTAATATAAGTAATATAAAGAATATATGACTGAGGTAAATAAATCTGCTTATTTAAACCGTACAATTAGTGCAAACATTGTATTTCGTATTAATCTTAATATTATGCATTGCACAAGAGTTATTATATAAGAAATAATCATAATCACAATGAGGATAGGACAGATTTCATGAATGAAAAATTTCTCAAGTAAGCTAGCGACGGCTTAAATATCGAATATTTTTCCTAAATATGATGAGTCGATCTGTCTAGTCAGAGTCTCAAAAAGTCCTCGTCAAGAGACTAGTCGGAAGTCTACTGCGTCATTGAATCCCGTTCGTAGATCGTCATTGACGCGCGTCATTGTACATCTATAGTCTAATCTTTTTCTAGATACAGATCCGTCCAGGAGTATTTCAATGTCGGTTAGAAATTGAATCATTATTGAAAATGCAGACTAGTCCTGGACGCGGACTTTTTGAGACAAAGACTGGACAGATAGGATCAATATAACGTCCGTCAGAAAGCGATTGAAAGTCGAAAAAGGAATATCGTCAGGAATGGTTTACATGACACGTCATAGTGAAATGTCTTGGACTAGTCCGGATGGGTGTAAATCTAAATATCCTATAAAGTGAAAGGTTAGATTCGAAGATGCATATAATATACTACTTATCCATCGTTTAGACCATTGAACTACATGTTCGAGAAACCTATTTCTATATCTCACTAATGATTAGTAGGTGTGCTTTAACAGAATTTAACTCAGAATTTTTTTAAAATTTCTATATTTATAAAGAAAAATTATTGTAGCATAAAATTATGTATATGAACTTGAATAAGATCATTTGAAATTCTTTTTAAATGTAAAAAAACAAAATGCTGGTTGAAAATTAGAAAAAAACATGCAAAAAATACAAAGTGGAAAAATCAATTTATAATCATTTTATGTAAAACGAAAATTAATTTTTTATTACTATTATGATTTTATTTAATTTTAAATTAAATTAGCTCGTCTTAAAATTAAAATTAAATTACATTTGTATAATCTGAAATAATTGTTGATAGATTGAATATTTAAAATAGAAAAAGAAAAATTATGACACAAAAAAAATACTTAAATTATTTTCAAATAATTTTTCTTAAAATTTATTTTGTATATCTAATTAATGTCAAAAATTTTAGGTTTTCCCAAGAGATGAATACTATACTTTGTATTTTCTGCTAAGATTTGGTACATTGATACATTCCTGGAAGTTAGCACACAAAAGTACAAAATCTTTGCTACTTCAAGTAGCATACGATTATCTTTAAGATTTAAAGAATGAATAATAAGAATACACATGCAACTATGATGAGATATACAAGTTTTTTGTATATCGTTGACTTGAGTGTGGGTTTTAGAGACTTAACCAGATTCTCATCTGGCTTGATAAAATGATATCGATGACAAAATACACATATGTTCATATGCAATTTAATAATTATTGCTAATTTTTATTATTTTAACATGATAGAACGCTTTTAACTATTAAACATGCAGTGATAGATATATTTTTGCATGATACTTTAAAGTAAACTTATGATACACATAACTCATAGTTCCAATGGAAGATACATGTGTATGTTTCCTATTTTTATTCGCCAACGCGCAAACTTCGTCAATATAGTATATCAAGATTTTACTTTACCTTTTTCTTTTATTCTTCTCCATTCTTACGGACAAGTTTAGACGGGCTAGATATACAAACGAACTAGATATGACGAGGTTCAAGGATGTTCTGGACTAGTTCGAACGTAGTTGCAGGACATTTCTTGTCATGATGCATATGAAGGATGCTTCAGGCTAGATCTGAAGGATATTTCGAACTAGTCATGTCGCCTATCGTTAGTCATTTTTGCTTGTTTGGTTTATACCTAATCGTACAATTGATATATATTCATAGGTAATATTACCTGAGCAGCTGTAAATTGAATAATAAAATACCCTTATTTCATTCATGCATTTATATGTGACTAATATTTATGACGTACGAAATATTTCCCAAGGAATTATCTATATCATGTCCATTGATTGTATACTGATTGATGATTTTTCCCCACATATATCATGGTTAAATATATAAAATCTATGATTCTATCTGTAACGTAATGATGTATTGTTCTTTTTCTCATCTGTTATTTACTTCTTCATTCATTCATTGCGATGAGTAGCATGTTTTTTTAGTGTAAGATGTAAATTCATAGATATTAAATTTATCTACTGGAGTAAGTATAAATGAGCATCAGCACTGTGATGTGAGTGAATATGGCAAGTTATATAATATCATTTTAGATTTAAAACTTTTTAGCCGTCAAAATGCAAACAAAATATCGAGTTATTGGTTTTATTATAATAATCTGTATTTGGATTTTTTCCGTTTTTAATTTGAATGTTAGTATTGGTATTATTAATTATTATCATCAATATGCTGATATTTTTTATCCAGAGCAATGTTTGTCTATATGTAATATTGTTATCAGTGCTTATGCCATTGTCATCAGCATATTTGCGATGTACACTATAATAGCTAATCGAGCAATTCTGAGTGAGTATTTCTTATTGATTTTCGAAACAGTTATATACATACACATACATATACAGTAGATATCAAAATTATTCAACAAGGTTTATTTTCAATTTTTTTTCGACTATCTTGAACGCTAGAAAGAAGCCAAATAGTGATTTGAATAGTGAACATGATTTTTAACAAGAATATAAAGAAATAAAAATTATTATCAGATTTATCAAAATAGGGACTCCAGAAAATCAAAAAGTTAGTTTTACACGTCTTCTAGTTCTCTGCGAGGTTTCTTAGCTGAGATATAACTAGTGAGGAGACGTAAGACGTATGAAGCGTCATATCTTCATTGTTTTTTGCATATAGTCATAAATCGTGACAGGACAGAAAAGAAAAATTATTCGCGAAAGAATGTAAGAACACATGTCAATTCACGTATAGCTGGGAGAACAGAAAAAAATTGACGGTATGACGTTATCTTTTTTTTTCTTTCGTTTCTTCGTTCGCTATAGTCGAATATGTTTCGGCCTATCAGGGACTGTATCATACAGCAATTTGATTGAGGGTCAAAAAACGGCTTTTCTATAAGAAATAGTAAAAAGAAATAAACGACTTTAGAGACTCCCGAAGGATTGCTGTATCTCAGCTAAAAAAATATTGCGGAGAACTTTGAGACATCTCAGTTTGTAGAAAATTGTTTATTCGAGCGTTCTAGATGCTGAAAAACTAGACTTTTGATTTGTCTGAGTTTTTGTTTTTCGGAACTAAATAATAATTGTTATTTAGTTAGATTCCTATTGGAAAAAGTTTTCTCTATTCAAACCACTATTTGAAATCTTTCTATAGCTTATTGAAAATAAACTTTGTTGAATAATTTTGATAACCAATGTATGCATATGTATCAATGGAATACCAATATATTTGGTTTATTTTTCAAGGTAAAATTGCAGCTAGTGGTTGTATGTTACTCGGTGTATGTGCTTTTGCTTCACTTATTATTGCGCTTATCATGTGTTTTCTAACTATTGATTATGTAAGCTCACATTTCTTGAACTATATGAATCATTACCAAAATAGTTCAAAAGCGCGAAATATCATCGACAATATTCAAACAGAATATGTTTGTTGTGGTGATAATATATGGCTTGATTGGACCAGAGTACCGTTAGTTGAAACATCGTCTAACATAAAAGATAAAGAAACGATAAGTAAACCAGATTCGATGACAATCTTTGATTTAGATTCAAGCACTACATCATCTATCATAGACACAAGCATATTGTTTACCACATTGTCTGATACGAGTACGACAAAGATAACTGAATCAACTGGTAACACAGGATTAGAAACCAGCACAAGTTCTGCTGTTGAAACAGGTATCTATTTTTTTTTACAGTTAATTAAATTCCGTTGCTATTAATTGATGGGTTGTATTTAAATTATAAATTAAATTAATGTTAAAAATAATATTTTTATTTATTTCTTCCTTTTCAGTTCATGTTTATTTTTATACTTTACTATTTTTTGCTTATTATCCTATAACAGTGAAACGGAAAGACAAGACGATAAAACCTGTGTTCTCATCATCTATTCCACTAGTAGAAAAAAAGAAAACTAGACAGATACATAAATAGTATAATGTAGGGTTTCGGAATTTCGTCAATACATCCCCTGGAGTTTCGCCATCGACTACATTGATATGTTATGTTTGTCTATGTCATAGTCAAAAATTTTAATATGTCGTTTCAGATAATAGTTGTTCGATTAATGTCTGTGACAAGTCGTACTACCGCATTATAAGTTTAGATCACTAAAGAAACAACATTGGCAGTGCATCTAGGGTGTGAATGTCAGATGCGACTATGACTGTGAGTCATCTTTGCAACTCACATCCACATCCAAAACAGGATCATTACCTAATACAATCAAATCTCTTGCTTATCTTGTTGACAAATTTGTTTGTCGCGAAAGAAAAACAAACATAATGTTTCCAAATCAGACTTATCAAATTCATCGCCAGATGAGCATTAGGTTATGGTTTATTTGCTCTTTTTTCTCTTATTAATCTTGCTTGTTTATTATTAAAAACATGACTCGCTCATATTCGAACATAAACTGAGTGTAAGCTATGATATATATATATATTCTAAAAATATTAATCTCAGTCCTCACATGTATCTTATATTAATATTTTTTCCGTGACAGCTTGTGAAAGTCTACCTACTTTCATCAATTGACGAAACACTGGCTACCCGCTAATGTAGACTTAATTTTAATATAAAAGTAAAAAAACGAACTCAACAAGAAGAAATAGATTCTTCGAAATGTTTTCAAAAATTAAATAAAAATATTATTATTTTTAATTTAAATATAATCAATTAATTAATTAACAGAAAGATAATTTAGTAAATGATAAAGATTTACAATATTTTCTTATAACATATTTAAGGTATAGATCTGGAATCAAATTCGGTCGAAGGCTCACAAACAAACATGAATACAGAACCGGTTGGTGATTCGGAATCTGTACCAGACGTAGAACGAGATCCAAATTTAGGAATAGAAGTGAAACCAGACTCAGATGCAATTGTAAAAAGAATCGCGAACATTAGGCCATTGCCTCATAAGCATCCTCGGTCAATCGACCCGATCTTTGATATCAATCCATTCAAATTTGATACGTCAAATTTTCTGAAACAAACCATTCGACGAAAACGACAAATAGAATCAAACAATGGTAATATACATACTTTATCATCATCTAATGGTATTAAATTACCTCAGTCTTGCTGTACAAGTGATGTACTAACAGTATTCAATTCATGTAAGTATCATATTTCATATATTAAGAAATCAAAAATGAGATTAAATTTTATTTTTTATTTTTCTTTAGATTGTGTATCGAATCATAATAATGTGCCAAACAATCTGCATAGAGATGGTTGCTTGAACAAACTTAGCAAAGTTGCTGTTAGTCAAACACTCGCTATTGGTATTATCGATGGTTTTCTTCTTACTTTTGCATTAGTTGCTATTCCAATACTCATTAAAATATATCCTTGTTATACAAATCAATTTAGTACCTATAGAAGTAATTCATCAAGTAGTCTAGAATCACAACTTGATGATGATGGAGAAAATAATGTAGTAAACAAGAAACCAAATATTTCAATTATTAACCGAAATTCTGATTATTCAATATATCAATAAAGTGACAATTATTAAACAGAACAATGTATTTTTTTTTATCCAGTATAATAAAATATCGTAAACTTGCTCGAAAGATTTCATGTATTAGACTTTTTTTTGATGAATATTTAATAAATACTTCTTTGCGATAATATATGATCTCAATCATTTCGAATATTGAAAGATCAAACTTTTTCTATACTATATATTTTTATTAGTTTTTCAGATTTCAAGAGTATGAAAACAATGGCCAGCATATATTGTTTCAACTGAAAGTTGATGAGAAAAGAAAAAATGTTATTAAATATTATATGTAAAATCAATGTTTAAGTTATCTAACGATAGATATCTTTTGACGTGTTTGTTGTCATTGTTCTATAATGTAAAACTATTTGAATAAATTTTATAATTTCATGGAATAATCGAAATACTTTTGACTAGCTTTCGGAGCAATTATTTATTCAATTTTAAATATTTAGCTATTGAAATTATATTAAAGAAAACTGTGTATGATAATATTGTGAATAAAAGTATCCATTTTAAATAAATATCTTCTATATTGATGGTTGAAACAAAAATAAAAATTTCTGTAAGAGATTTTAGTTAAAAATAGCAGGTCAAATTGTATCATTAGCTAATAAGGTAATCGTAAACATGCTGAATGAAAAAACATCATTTTATGAATTCCGATACGTATTCGTGAATTTTTATCGACATGATTTCAATATTATTAATGAGAATTTTAGTAGAACCTTCATCCTCTTCTATTAAAGAACAATTGAAATGATAGAAACGTTTTGTGTATTAACTTATACACAAAACATATTTTTGAGAAATTCCGATAATGTTGATTTAAGAACGATATTACTATAAGTATCAATGGGTATCTGTATGTGTTCAGGAAATGGTATTGTTCTTTAGTATATACAAGGTCAAGCTATAATTATTTAGAATTTGAGAATATCGAACAATGAAGACGAAATATTTTTCTACTATTACATGAATCTTTTGTTGTTTCATTTTAAATTTTTTTTATATTAAAGTAGCAATAAAATTGCTAAGAAGATCAGTCTTAAATATTAGTTTTGATACATAATTAAGTAAACGATAGAGTAATTGTCTACAAAATCTCATTATTAAATAGAGGTTTGAAACAAAATGTTTACTTAACTTGTTTAACTTTAGTTTAGTGTAAGACAAAATAGAATTCGATTTTAAACATATTTCTATTCAATTCGATAGTACAGAAAAAGCTATATAACTAATAATATGAGCGTCAAATAATAATAAAGACAAAAGGAGGTATATTAGACTATATATCATCTTTGATTTTCGTACATCTGTTAAATCAGATGTTATTATTAAAAACTTGATGTCTCTGAAATGACAATTACTTTTATAGTTTTGTTGACTGATCTCAAATATGCTTTTAACTTAGTTCCCAAATATATCAGCAATGAAAAAGACGGAAAATAAATGAAATAATTAAGGATTCAAGTAAGAGTGAAATTTATTTTGATTATATTTAACCTAAAAATATTTTCCTGGTATATTTTAATTATGGTATTTTACACGATTATAATGGACATTAACTACAGAAGATATGGTAGAAAAGACGATCTGTAGTTTCTCATCCTTATCTCCTGAAGTATATTCATTTTCAATGAATTTCTCGAATTATATACTAGTTAACCCTCATATTTTGTATAAATAATCGAAAGAAATTTTAAGGTAACTGATGCAATTTTGAAGTGAAAGTAATATTCCTTAGCTGAGCTATGAATTGTTGTGAAAGAGGATCTGAAACTTTAAAAGCAACGCTCGGTCGTAAAATAGCTACAATTCAAAAACTACGAAGGTTTAACATTTCAATTTCGTGTTGTAGATAGAGAAGGAGAGTCTGATCTACATGTTAGTAAAAGTAATGAAACGTTTGCATCTCACGAACCATCCAGGAAAAGAGGCCTAAACTTGTTAGGTGATGAGTATTCACTGTTAACAATGATTACACTAATTTCGAGGTCCCTAGCTATCATGGTCAAACAATGATACTGAAAGAGTTAAAATGATCATAACTCAAGAAAGAAAACTCATACACATGAATCCTTTTAGACTTTCACAAGTTTCATAAGAACTTACATAATGAGGTAAAACTCATCTCAAAACGCTATTTATCATTTGACTAAATTTACTCCTAAGATTTACAAATCATCATTTCAATCATATGACAGTACTCATCAATGAATATTTTTATATTTCAAAACGTATAATTATTATTTTCAATACAAATCCAAATTTGCAATCAAATATAGTTATTATAGTAACACAAATTCAAACTCAATATAAATGTTATAAATCTGTCTAACTCAAATATCATATATAAAAAAATGAACGAAAGTCGATCATGTGGTTATTCAGTACGAGATACAAGGTTATCAATAACGAAAAATACAGCCTTCATCATGACATGGTTGTCTAGCATTCGTACTCATTTATTTCTCTGTTCAGCGCATTGCATAGTTAGTACGTTTTTTTCTTTCGATTATATATCTATTTTTATTGCACTTCAAGGTTGGTACATGTATCAGTGTAGAGAAATTAGTAATATTGTGAAACATAATTATTGAGATTTGTTTTTTTTTCTACATTTTATTATTC